CCTTTAAAGAGACGTCATTAACGTAAATATTGACGTACAGCGATGGCAGTGGTACCATTGGAAAGAGCAGAATTCCAGCTTTCAGATGAGCACAAAAACCGAAAAACTCCAAAATTGAAGATGTTGGGTAGCAGGTCCCCTTAAAAACGTTACTTTAACTCACTCATAAGCTGAGGTACAATATTTCAGCTTATAAAATCTACATAAGCTGACAAACTCAACATAAGCTGATGAACTCCATATAGTCTGATAAACTCCATATAGTCTGATCTACTCCATCATTCGTCAGTTATGGAAAGATCGGGTTCGAAAGGCCGGATCCCTTGTGAATCAAGTCACGAAAAATTCAAGAATCGGCAACAGGCCATGAGCCTATTTCTTCAGTGCCGACACTTCTATTCTATTCTATATAATCTGGTCAACTCAATATAGTCTGATCAACTCCATATAGTCTGGTCAACTCAATATAGTCTGATCAACTCCATATAGTCTGGTCAACTCAATATAGTCTGATCTACTCCATATAGTCTGGTTAACTCAATATAGTCTGATCTACTCCATATAGTCTGATTAACTCAATATAGTCTGGTTTACTCAATATAGTCTAGTTAACTCAATATAGTCTGATCAACTCCATATAGTCTGGTTAACTCAATATAGCCTGATTAACTTATTATAGTCTAACTAACACATGACCAACACGCTCTCGCACTTCAACAGGCACTGCAATGAAGGTCCAGCACAGACCGGCTGAGAGCCACAAGCCGCATGCAGGAACATCGTAGTTAGGAAAATCCTTTTTTTCCATCTACCTCCGGCAGAGTTGGGAATTATATTAAAATTTTCCTCGTGTTTTCTTCCTTATGAAAGCGATCGCCGTGTCGACCAGGAAAACTGGCATCGAAAATAGCATAACTTGTTCCTTCGCCAGTCATATTGTGGATAATTTAATTATAGATCTGACAAAAATAGAAACTAGAATTTATGGAAACATGAAAAGAGAGCTATTTATTAAAGGAATTTTTATCTATTTAACGAACACGAAAATTCCTGCAGGTTTTCATACAAACTCTGGCAGCCAAGATAAAAACTTTTTTCGGACACATAAAATGGATGGAGCATTTTTTTGTANGCAGTCTGGCATCCAGCGACGGGATGAACCTCATCCGCAGTCTGGCATCCAGCGACGGGATGAACCTCATCCGCAGTCTGGCATCCAGCGACGGGATGAACCTCATCCGCAGTCTGGCATCCAGCGACGGGATGAACCTCATCCGCAGTCTGGCATCCAGCGACGGGATGAACCTCATCCGCAGTCTGGCATCCAGCGACGGGATGAACCTCATCCGCAGTCTGGCATCCAGCGACGGGATGAACCTCATCCGCAGTCTGGCATCCAGCGACGGGATGAACCTCATCCGCAGTCTGGCATCCAGCGACGGGATGAACCTCATCCGCAGTCTGGCATCCAGCGACGGGATGAACCTCATCCGCAGTCTGGCATCCAGCGACGGGATGAACCTCATCCGCAGTCTGGCATCCAGCGACGGGATGAACCTCATCCGCAGTCTGGCATCCAGCGACGGGATGAACCTCATCCGCAGTCTGGCATCCAGCGACGGGATGAACCTCATCCGCAGTCTGGCATCCAGCGACGGGATGAACCTCATCCGCAGTCTGGCATCCAGCGACGGGATGAACCTCATCCGCAGTCTGGCATCCAGCGACGGGATGAACCTCATCCGCAGTCTGGCATCCAGCGACGGGAAGAACCTCATCCGCAGTCTGGCATCCAGTGACGGGATGAACCTCATCCGCAGTCTGGCATCTAGCGACGGGATGAACCTCATCTGCAGTCTGGCATCCAGCGACGGGATGAACCTCATCTGCAGTCTGGCATCCAGCGACGGGATGAACCTCATCTGCAGTCTGGCATCTAGCGACGGGATGAACCTCATCTGCAGTCTGGCATCCAGTGACGGGATGAACCTCATCTGCAGTCTGGCATCCAGCGACGGGATGAACCTCATCCGCAGTCAACGTTGTGAGCATCACGCGGTCAGAGTGGCTGCAATGTACGAAGCGAAATACTATATTAACATATTATATCTTCTCCATGATACAGAGAACAGAATAATAAGAACGTGCGCCTCTCATGCATTGGAAGTCAAGGGATATCAAAGAAAGGTAAAATATTCTACTGCATCTTTACGAGCGCGGTTCAAGCTGTAAAACACAAATTCGGTTACCCAGAATTAATTAAAATCCCTGAACAGGTTTACATTGAAATACAGAATGATGATAATTGCTAATACGTATTTAGAACAATTTTAAGGTGAACCATAAAGTTCGTGACAAAGATCTAAACCCTACCTACCTTTAATACATTTGTACAAGTAATTTGCATTCTATTATCTGAAAATGCGGCATTAATGCAATACATTCCTCTTCTTAACAAACCATGTAAACTTGAATATACAATATCCTCATTCGGTAACGTGAAAAATCTTGTACATTCCAGTAAATTCGAAAAAATAAAACATTTCCTTATGATTTTGACAAGAGGACCACAAATAAATATTTCCTAATGCACCTTAACAAGGAGATGCGATGGCAGGGATTTACTGAAGGCGACGGCAACGGGCGTCTGTTGTCGGCCGGCGGCAGGTTTGTTCTCAACCACAACAGAGAGCCGCGGCAGGGGCAGCGTCCCACACGACAGCGGGTACAGCAGGTACTGCAGCGCCTCCTCCTGCTGGGACAGCAGCCGTA